CCATACCACAGAAAAACATACTACCGCACCGGGTGACACCATTTAGGGGGGTGACACCAAGGCAAACAATAGCAAAATATATAGAGAAAAGTTTGAGGGGGGTGGGGTGCAAATCGAAAGTTTAAGGGGGGGGGGGTGCAAATCGAAAATTGAAAGTTTGTCCCCGGGAAGAGTCGCTACACCTCGGGGGGGGGGGGGGTGACACCATTAAGTGCCGCACCGGGTTACACCCGACCTCGCTACGCCACTGGGTCTCCCTATCCCAGTCCTAGTTTGTCAGTCATTTATAACTCAAGTTAATCCATCTAATAAAAAAATACAACGAACAAATAAAGAAATGTATCTAAAAATATACTCAACAGTAAATATGGGTGTACAAGACTAGGTATTGTCTACTAGTAAATCGGGCGTATGTGTTAGTTTATGTTAGATATCGAGTGTAGTGATGATAGCAAATACACATATAACACCGTTAACGCGCAAGCGGGTTTTAACTGAGCTCAATTCGAAATAATAAAAAAAAAAAACAGTATGTAGCCGGGACAGGACAAAATGGAAGGGAATGGTTGAAGCCCAATGTTCAACAAAGAGCCGAGGACTAAGTCAAGTAAGTCAAGTTAATCAAGTCATTATCTACAAGGCAATCAAGTGTAATCATGTGTATCAAACAAAACAAAACACAAATAATCACACAGATGTTGAACTATTAGCAGAGATATGTCTTTTTTTGCCCTCAAAAATTAGGTCGAGAAAGTATTTTTTATTTATTTTAAATTACACAGGAAATAATAATTTTACGGACTGTAATTTTCAAAGCAGGAATTTCATTTTTTTTTTAAAAATTTCAAATCGTGAAAAGCTTCGGTGAACTAACATTTCGAAGATTGTTTTGAAAACAGTGAGTGAATGGTGAAATGAGATGGAAGGAGCATGCTGGGTGTAAGCGAGCTTGAGAGCGACTGTTCAGGCATGATTTAGCGACAACACACACAGCCCCCCCCCCCCCCACACCCCCTACCCCACCCTACACAAAAAAATTTTACGTGTAAGCAGGAGGGTAATGGACATTTTTTAAAGTTTCTTTTTTCCATCAATTTTAATTTATTCACACATTGAGAATGCCTAAGGTAAAAATAAATTTAAAAATTAAACATTTCGTTAAGTGAATTTCAATTTGAGATATAATAAACCTTTCTTTTAATTTAATTTATATTTACCATATATTAGATGTAATTTTAGTACTACTTAAATATGTTTAAGGCAAGTAATTATCTTTATAACATGCGAAATATAAAAAAAAATTAAACGTTACTGTGGAATACATAAGAATTTGTTTAAAACATTTTTAGAAATAGTTAAATTGCATTGTCAAATTGCAAAGGTTTAACTACAGGAGAATCATAAATCCAATAATTAACGCCTTCATTGTTATTTTAGGGGAGAACTGTATGTTACAAATGTATAAATGGTTCCGTGTCAAATTTGAAGAAACGAACTATGCCGAACAGATTTTAAAATGTATAGGCCTAGGCCTAATAATTTGAGTAACATTTTAGGAAACGAACTATGCCGAACATAATTCAAAACGTATACGTGAATATGTGTAAAAATTTAAACACCCAAACAAAAATATGCCGCATTGTTGCGGGTGGGGGCGTCAAGGAGAGGGGGAGGGGTGGCGTTAACTAAAGGAACGCGACAATGGGAAGCCACTGGGCCGAGCGTGAAAGGGGGGAAAACGTCACCAGCAGCTTCAAACGCTAGGCGTGACTTGACGCCTACGCCGTAAGATGGGGGGAGTCTACCTTCGCTAGCCGTCCCCTCATCTTCCGCCCCGGCCCAGGAGTCGATCACCACCTCTACCTGTGCTGCCTCCAGTATTGTGGCATTAATAAACAAATCTACAGACGTTTTTTCTTTCTTCTTTTTTCTTCTCTCTCTCCCTCTCTCTCTCTCCAACAATCCCAGAGCGCCATAGGGGTAAAGACGGACGTAGAAAGACCGGCAGTGAAGTCTTCAAAGTCTGGCTTCACACGGCTTCAATTGTCGGTTGAAACAAAAGCATCGAAGGACCGCGCGAGTAGTCGAGTCAAGGGACTAAAGGTAAGTCCATTTTCATATAACTGCCGGTGTGTGTGTGTTGGGGCCGTTCCGTGTGTGTGATGATTTAGTGTGTGTGTGTCCGTGTTGAGTAGATGGGCTATGGGGGGATAGTTGAAGATAAAATTTTTAAAACCAAATTGTCGAGCGACGCAGATAGTTTCTATAAATAGCTGTTAAATTTTAAGATGGTGGTTCATTGATGTAAAAAAAATCAATTTTTCCATTGTTTACGTGTGTTATGGTGTGTAGTGGTGTGTGTTGGAGGTTCAACGGTTTAGGTTCGTGTGCTATGGTTTACACATGGTGTGTTCGATTGAAATGTCGAACCATCTGGTTATTAGTGGCTACCACTGGTTAGAGCAAGGGGGGGGGGGGGAGGGGGTGGGGTCGGGGTGATTAACACTGGTGTGTTGGGTCTTGCTTCTATAGGTCAATGAACTTTGGTTCACGTTTCTCAAGCCGTTGATAAAATATCAACTAAACATGATTTAGACGTTAACTTAATTGTGTACATCAACTTTAAACTTGATTCAAACAAAGTGAAATACATAAACCATAAAGTTGACTCAGACGTGTAATAAAGTAAAATACATCAACTCTAAACTTGATGCAGACATTAACCTAATTGCATACATTAACTATAAACTCGACTCAGACGTGTAATAAAGTTATACATCAACTCTAAACTTTACCTACACATTAACCTAATTGCATACATTAATTATAAACTTGATTCCGAGGTGTAATAAAGTTAAATACATCAACTTTAAACTAGTTTCGGACTTTGAACCGTCTTACATTAATTTAAAACTAGATTCATACTTAAAATAGAGCTAATATAGGTACATCAACTCTAAACCAAATCTAAATTAAATTAAGTCTAAGCACATACATTAAACGATAAAATTACTAAATTACTGTAATTAAATATATCAGTTCTTAATTGAATTTAGACTTTTAAATTAAATAGTGCAAAATCGTATTAAACTATTATTTTAAAAGTTATATTTAAATATTTACACTAATGTAATTAAAATGCTACACATGTTAATTAGCTTTAGTTTAAACTATCTAATAAAGCTTAAATTGTATTTCCAAACTAATTTTAGACTTCAATTAAAAAATTACTAGATGTAATGCATATTGACTAAGAATATGTTTTGAGAAGAAAATCTGACTTATTTTAGTTTAATAGTAATTTTAATTACTAAATAGGTAAAACATGTAAATGTTTTTAAAACTTTAAATGATTGTGGTTTTAAACTTTACAAAGTTAATACAAAAACAGTTTATGTAATGGAAATTATTGGGATTGTTACACGTACATTGTGAAGTTCTAAAGGTGGGAGTAGGACTGAAAACAAAAACACAAACTTAATAACCAAAGTAACTAAAGTAACATTAGCACCACCAGTAGTAACAGTAGTAATAACATCAGCATCATCAATAGCAACAGCAACAACAATACCAACAACATCAACACCAACACCAAACGAAACAACAGCACCAACAACAGTAACAACAACATCAGCACCACCAACAGTATCAACAACATCAACACCACCAACATAAACAACATAAGCAACACCAACACCAAAAGAAACAACAGCACCAACAACAGTAACAACAACATCAGCACCAACAACAGTAACAACAACATCAACACCACCAACATAAACAACAGCAGCACCACCAACAGCAACAACAACCTCAGCACCACCAACAGTAACAACATAAGCAACACCAACACCAAAAGAAACATCAACACCAGCAACAGTAACAACAGCAGCACCACCAACATAAACAACATCAGCAACACCATCAGCAACAACAGCATCAGTACCACCAACATAAACAACAATAGCACCACCAACAGTAACAACATCAGCACCACCAACAGTAACAACAACATCATAATTACCACCAACAGCAACAACAACATCAACATCACCAACGGTAACAAAAACAACAGCAACACCAACATTAACAACATCAGCACCACCAACAGTAACAACAACATCATAATTATCACCAACAGCAACAACAACATCAACATCACCAACGGTAACAAAAACAACAGCAACACCAACATTAACAACATCAGCACCACCAACAGTAACAACAACATCAGTAACACCAACAGTAACAACAACATAAGCAACACCAACACCAAAAGAAACATCACCATAACCAACAGTAACAACAACATCAGCACCAACAACATTAACAACAACATCAGTAACACCAACACCAAAAGAAACATCACCACCACCAACAGTAACAACAACATCAGAAACACCAACAGTAACAACATCAGCAACACCAACATAAACAACAACAACAGCACCACCAACAGTAACAACATCAGCAACACCAACAGTAACAACAACATCAGCACCACCAACAGTAACAACAGCATCAACACCACCAACTTTATGATGTGTAGCGAAAATTGGTTGCCCCGTGTTAAGATTGTGTGTTGGTTTATCTAAAGTTAACACACACTTGTGCCGGCATTTTTAAACCTAATCAATGGAAGATCTGGAGATCAAACACCGGTGAGGGGTGGGTGGGTGGGGGGGGGGGGGGGGAGGAGACGATGGCTTCAAAGGAATTCTACGTTTTAAATTAACGCTGCTTTTACCGTATTTGTTATAATCAATTTAGTTATGTTTCATCTAAATAATATAAAACGTTGTAATTTAATAAAAGTAATTTAATTATATATATAGGCCCTCTCGCTCTCTCTCTATCTCTCTCTCTCTCTCTCTCTCTCTCTCTCTCTCTCTCTCTCTCTCTCTCTCTCTATATATATATATATCACCCCATGCGAATGGCTATCTCTGTTTTTGTCAATGATCAGATCACTGAGTAACAAATAGATATACCCGCACTTCCTGTGTGGATCAGACGACTAACTCAATGATAATTGCTCCGTCTCTAAGCAGTTTGAATCTATAAATAGAATAACAAAAGGAAGGAAACGAAATTTTAAACTGATTTCCGCCATTAAAAAAATAACATGAAACCTACAGTTCACGACACATCGCATAGGAATTTAAAATAAATATTAGGCCTATAGGTTTAATACATATTGCTTAGAATATAGAAATTTAGATCTAGTGTTCTGGTTAGTAGTTATTTCATGTTTATTAGAATATAGTCTAGAATCTAATCATACGGCTGCATAAAAAGAAAGTTTGAAGGAAATAGAATAGGAATCTAGAGAAGCGGAGGTAAGAAGGTTAAATTAGTAATTTACATGATTTTTATTGTAGTTTCACTGTTTGTTAGGCCCAATTATTAAATCTTTAGATCAGAGGTCCAGCTTGATCATGTGTGGTATCTATTGTGGTGCATTGGAATGAAAAGCCCACATACTTAAATATAGAATCTAGAAGGCCTATACTATAACTGTACTGCCCTATACTTTAAATTTGTTGCCACAAGAAAAAAGCCTATTTACTATTAGGCCTATTAGTTATAATTTAATTAAATTGTAATATTTGATTATCTTTATAGTTTATAGTGAATGCATGCTAATGAGCATTATTCAAGCTGCTGTTATATTTAGGCTCATAGGCCTGTATACTCTATAGCTTAGGCTATATACTATAGACTATATATTATACCAATATTGTGCATAAAACTTAAAGCATGTAAGCATACACAATAATAATTATCATTAGACCTATAGTAACTTAGACTCGTACTATTTAGTACTACTTTAATACGACCTTTAAACTATTAGGCATAATGAAATAATGATTAATGATTTCAGTGTTTTCCGCACTCGAGAGGAAAGAGGTTGCAGGGAACTTAGAGACTAATCTTTGCCAACATACTGGATTTCTGGTGATGACAATAGCAGCAGATAGTATGCGGCTCAGTTAATACTAAAAACAATTGATTTTAGTAATTAGTGGTAAGCTTTTTAAAATAATATATTATAACATGGTATCGCAAAGGTTCAGGTTGTCCAATAAATGGTAATTAGAGTCAGGTTTAGGACTATAGTTTAATGCTTGGTTAGTAATATGCATCAAGTTGGGAAAGATATAGAAATGGAAATACATAGAATTTAATGTGTTCATTCGCAAACGTTACTATTTAATTTTTTTTAGGCCTGCTATTTATTGCTGAATAATAAAATCACTATACTTATCCACTATATTATGTTTAAATAAAGTGAGTTTAGATCAGTCGAGTAAATAAATTTAATAGCAAGACATAGCTAAAATTTACAATGAATATATATATATATATATATATATATATATATATATATATATATATATATATATATATATATATATATAATTTGATTGCTATTTTATAAAAGTATGTAAATCACAGACCAAACATTACTTTGTATTGTGTCTACAACTTAACGAAAAATGCTACTACTTTGATGGATTGCACTAAATAGGGGTTAGCTTTAATACAATAATTTGTGAGATATTCTTGCTAATCTATGTGTAAATTGCTTTTCAGGACTATGAGTGTGTGTTTGGCCATCCAGATTTCATAACTACAAAAGATGTTCAATTACAAGGGATATTGATCAGTCTCCGTGGACTATACACTGTGCCTAGTTTCATCCTCAGGTAACTGTACTATAGGCATAACCCATTTTTTAAAGTAATTATTATAGCAAGAGATAGCATTGTATGTTATAATAAATATAATGGATTTTAATCCAAAATATTTTATTAATTATTGTCTTTTTTTAAATTCTAATAAATCAGTGAGTTGTACAACATAGAGGGTATTATATTTGAATGATAATTGAAAAACATATTGTTACAGAGCTCAAAACTATGTACTTATCTAATATAATTAATATACTGAAACAGTTTTATTGAAGCATATTATTTCATATTTTACCACACAGAGACTGATGTGTAAGCTTAAAGTAAAGACATCAAATCAAAGTATCAGCCATCAAGAGGGTAAATATTGATAGTCTACTTCATTAATCTTCAATATGAATGAACACAATTTTAAATCTATAATCTTTGCTGATAATGTTTGTTTCTTGTTATTCATCATGTTCAGTGCTTTATCTTTTCAAAGTAATTAGTTATAGTAAAGAAATATTAGAGATAGTAATATAAATTTGTAATTTATTTTTCTTGCAAGTTCCACAAAAGAAAGTATCAAAATATTTTGCCTTTATTTCATTTACAGAAAAACATTCAAAATCATATTGTGATACACAAGTCAAGCAAGTCTGACCAGCATTTTGATACAGGCCAAGAAAAAGCTGGATACTTGATTGGAAGGGTCGCACAAAAAACATGGGTTATCACTAGGGAAACAAGCTCGCAATACAGTTCACTGTTAGGACAGCAAGCCAAATACTTCTAAACTTATTTGAATCATTTTTGCTGTTTATTATAATTCATCCAATTGTCTTATTAAATATATAAATTTATATATATACACAATTCCTAATATAGAATTTCTAAAAATGTTTTATTATAATATTTAAAATGAAACAAACATGTTCCCAGAACACAGCCACATAATGTCAACATGTTCCCAGAACACAGTCACATAATGTCAACATGTTCCCAGAACACACAAAATGGCAACATGTTCCCAGAACACACAAAATGGCAACATGTGCCGAGAACACAAAAAATGACAACATGTGCCGAGAACAATGCCCCTTACAGATGACATGTTCCCAGAACACAGCCCGTAGTTGGTCTGCCATAAAAAGTTAACAATACTTTACTTTTTCCTTAACAATTTTACAAGCAGGTAATAAAGCCATACATCTTTACTGTGGATATAGCCAATAAATAGGCTAACCTTCACTATATGCAATTTGTAGTTTTCAATGCCTGTCCCATGCATATTATTTAGCCTATTGTTTTGGGTCTTGCTTCATTTACTCAATTAATTATATAGGCATGAGAATTTTCATTTTAATCTGCAAAAGTTACATTCTGTACATTATTATTTTCAAACTACATCATATATTTTTCTCTTCTCTGATAAAAAATATTCCTCATATTGTTTGTGTCAAGTATTTTATTTTTATCTATGCAATGCTATATTCTTATTTTATAATAATTACTTTTATACAAATTCTTTTGAAAACTGTTCTTTATTGATTTGTATCATTTTCTTTATTTCTGAAAAATAAAACTTTGTTTGGGAATCCTTTTTTTGTTTCTGTACAAATTAATAAACATAAATATCCAGCAACATTAAACAATTAAGTAGGGCCTATTGTTAGTAATGGTAAATTATATACTAATTAATGTGATTTCTCCTGGCCACCTTGTTCTGAATACCTTCAACTGTGTCAATGTTGCTACCAACTCCAATAATTAAAACTGAAGCCATTTACTATGAAGTAAAACTTGGGTGTAATCCAAATCCACCCAGTTGCCGGGCGCAAGGTACCAAAAATGATGTCCAGTAGAGGGTTAAGAAAGTATCATTATTAAATCACTATTAAACCCCTCCTCGCCTACGCCATTGCTTGTATGCATATGGACATTATCGGAATTTACTGTATTGATTATAAGTCGAAAATGCGAAAAAGACACGTTTAACATTACTAGTTTGAAGAATAACATTCATGTTAGCCGAAACAGGTGTATTCTAAAGTTGTTTAAATTCATTTTATTGTTCATTACGATTATGATGTCGTAAAATATAGGCCTATTTAAAAAAAGCATAACTAAAAAGTGTTTAAACGCATTTTCTTCTTAGAAAAGCCGCACATGCATGATATCATTAACATTACGGGAAATCAAACCCTTGAAGAAGCCCCATCAACCATTCAATTATTACGATGGGCAACAAATAAAACGCCCGCATCAAGGTACAGTCCTTATGCTATCGACATTAGCTCAACCCCGGCAACTAACGTGTCCCAAAACCAAGAATTGAAATCTTGACCCATTATTCTGATTAATTAGTGGTTAAACATCTTTAGGCATCTGAAAACGTTAGTTTTTAATCTAGTGTACTCAAAAAGGAACAACATAAAGCTTTATGCCGCCTTAAAAACCCAATCCCATGTTACGCAAGGCGTCGATAGAGAAAGAATAAGGCTTTGAGTCAGAACAGGCAAGGGCTTAGATAACTGCCAAAATACCTAATCTGTAGACCTCACAAGTCTAGACGATATATTTGTGCCTCTGTTTTTAGACTTTCAGAACAAATGCATGTGATGTGGTCAGTAGGTACATAAAAGAGAAAAGTAGTTTTAATCTAGAGACTTCAAACATTTCTGAAGGACCGAATTTGAACTTGTAGGCCGTGGTGTCGATGCCAAAGTTTAGCGTTGTCCGCAAAGATAAGCTATCGTTATATCATCTCTATGCCCATATTGTGACAGATATTTACCAATGTGTCTAATATAGGACAGAATACATAGCTACTCAATAGAGATAAGCGCAATCATTTGTCCACGACTTAAGAAACCACTGTACTGCAAAACCCACCTAAATGGAAAATGTCTTAGATGTGTGTTTTAATACAAATGTGTACCTCGTCGCGAGTTAGGACCTGTAGGTAGTCTGTTACTACTCTATATCTAAAAACAATAAAAAGATAACGTGAATTTTATTTATTCAATTTCTTGGTTAACTGTATTTGTTGCATCTTGTTCAATTTTGTTAATATTGATTAACCTAAAGGGTTCAAATGTAACAAAGAAAATTGTGACTAAGTTTCCGGGTGCGGGTATGCTGACACTAGTTAAAGTAGGCCCTATATATCTATTTATATTTATAGAAATGAAAGTATGTTTATCTGTTTGTCCTATATGAATTACTACATCTTTTCCATCGGATCACCATAAAACTTTGTGAACAGAGTTTTTTCCAGGAATCTATTCGGAGGGGGGGGGGGGGGGGAAGCAGAGCCCCCCACCCCCCGAAGAAAGTCTATCGACCCCCCCACCCCCGAACGAAACGGAATTTATATAGAAAAAAATACTTTTAACAGTGTCCGCACGCCCCCCCCCCCGGAAAGATTTCGCCAGGGCGGCACCCTAGCAGGAAGCAGAAGCGTAGCAACCTATTCCGGCAGCCGGGGCGAACTATCAATTATGTGCCAACCCTATTCAAACGCTGGCAAAAAGGCGCCCATCCCTACATACACTCCCCTATATAAAATAATTGAGGATATCAGCCATGTATAAATCTGTTTTCTTAAATTTTACTGAAGAATGAGGATTTTTAAAAAAATTGTCTACCCCTTTTGGCGCCCCATTCGATCTGGGGTCTCTGACAGGAAGCAATGCAATTTTTCTCCATAAAAATAAAAGCCAGATGCAATTTGACACTGTTCGTACGAGAGTCATAAAATTTTGGGTAGTTGGTGAAAAGGGTTTCGAGAAAGAAAAAAATTCTTAAGTGTGGCACCCTGGGAGGGTTCGATTTTTTCTAATTATACGATTATGAGCTCAGAATCCAGAGAAGAATCCAGAGGGGCTATCTCATCAATTGCGGTCATAGGTAATACTAGATTCAGCAGAGGCGCAGCGAGGGGGGCGGGGGGTACATATGTCCCCGGGCGCCAACCCTAGGGGCGCCAAAATGGTTGGAAAAATTTAAAAGCTCATTTTAGCTATAGTTTTGCATTATAAATATTTAAAAAATACGGGGATGGGGCACCAAATTGAAAGTTTGTCTCCGGCGGGAGGGGGGGGGGGCGCCAAATTGAAAATTTGTCCCCAGGCGCGAGGAATGGTGCTACGCCTCTGAGATTCAGTGATAAAACTACACCAGGTTCATCCGCCAGCTCCCCGGTGGTTGAGTGGCCCAGAGCAGCCAAGACCCATCTCGGGCGACACTACGGTTTAGATGGGCTACTATAAATGTTCACTAAGTAGAATAATGAGCGCCCGCCGGCGCCCTGGCAGTTGGCGACAGCGAGCGCCCCGGGCTCTACAGAGAGTGCCTCCTTAAAGAGCACCCTACAATAGGGACACGGTGGCACACGACATTTTATAATTAAACCGAATTAGGGGCGCCCCTGCGGAAATATAACCAGTGGCTCCCTGGAGCGCCAAGGGACGCGTCTCTAACACACGGGCGGTCGCCAATGTGTGTTCTACCTCACTATTACAGAGGTTGATTAACGTACACTCAAGGCTTTCATACAGTGAGCCTTGGTGCGTCTAGGCGGCAGTGTGGAAAAACCCGCGCCCCAAAAACGAATATGTGGGTTTGTTTGTTTAAGCATTATCAAAGATTTCATTCGTTTGTCATTCAAATTTGAGAAGTTAATGTTAATACCCCTGTGGTGGTTTCTACGAAAAAAAATTCGATTTGGTGGCGCCCTGGCAGGGTTCCATTTAGCTCCCCGGGTTTTCCCGTGAGTACTATGGTACCTTTGTTCGTTTTAATAATTGCGAAACGCTATGAATATGATGGGCTACTATAATGGCTCTCTATACCGAGTGAGGCGCCTTCCTAACTAGGCCCACCTACCTACATACCTAACTCCCTGCCTACGTACCTACCTATCTACTAACCTGCCTGCGCTGCTGCCTGCCTACCTACTTTCCTACCTACCGTTATTCCTGCCAAACTGCTTTCCTTCCACCCCGCCTGTCTACACACCTCACATCCTACTTACACACACATATCTTCGTATGTATATATGTATGTGTTAGTGTGCTCTAGGACTATGTATTTTTACATTTTTGTTGTTACGTAGAACTATTCAGTATAAAGGAGTTTCCTTTTTTTTTGACGTTGTAACTGCCGCTAAAATATTCTTTTTTGTATGTGTGCATAAAATAGTGTAGGTTTATTAACAAAAGTAAATTTTAGTATGTATTTAAGTGTATATAATCATTTTCGTCAAGCCAATGTGTTCATAATCTTAAATTTAAAAACCCATGAAACTCGATAGCCAAAGATTTAGAATGAGAATAATTGCTATTTAACCAGTAACACCTATTCTAATTATTGTAATAATAATTTTTTTAAATAAATATACACAGAGATAGATTGTTTTCTTATATAATTTATTTAAAAAGTCAACTGTATTTCATAACGAAAATTAACACAAAATACATTCGAATAGAAACTGTCAAGGGAGACTACTCTAATATTTGTAGGAATAATAGTTTTTATTTTGAGTTTTTTTAATTATTAGAAGAAAAGTTAATCATGTAGGTTCCACAAAAGATTACCTTGCATTTAAAAAAAAAGATATTCGATAGGTTTAGAATGAGAAATAGTCAAAATTATTTATTATATTCATTAGATGTTTTTTTTAATAATATAGTACAAAGACCTGTTTTAATTATTTTTTTAAAAATCTTATTTTAATTAATAAATTATCAATGAAGATCGAGGATCTATATTTTTAAAAAAATAGTTTAACTGTCCCTAAACAATTGTATCAATCGCTGAGAAATTAAGGATTAATAATTAAGTTTAACGCTTTATTAATTAAACGAGTTGAATTATTTCCGTTTTGATAAACTCTCTCTCTCTTTATAACTACTAACGCTTGATCATTGAGTTTCTTAAGAGAAAAATACAGGAGAGCGGTAATTATCATTGACTCTGTCATTGATAATTTCATTGAGTCTTTCATAGAAAATAGTGTTTGATCGGCTGATATATATATATATATATATATATATATATATATATATATATATATATATATATATATATATATATATATATATATATATATATACAGCAGTAAATACAGTTATAATTTTTAAGTATTATATTTCATATAAAATATTTTTAAATGTGGATATAATATCAAAATAATATTTAATGTAGTTTTAAAATATCAGATTATTTTTTTGAACTTGCATTATTATTATAATTTTTTTTAAAGAAACGTCGTAATAATATTAGTAATATTTGTTACATTTTTTATTGTACAAAATATTAAAATTTAAGATAATTTAAATTTTTAATTAAAATTGCTGTCGATATACTAAAAATTAAATCACAGAAATATTTTATAGAGTAAAACAAGAATGCATCTTCCAAAAACTGTTGACTCAATTATTGGTATAAGAATAATTAGACTTACTGTAAAAAGTACTCAATTATTGGTATAACAATAATTAGACGTACTATAAAAAGTTCTCAATTAAAAGAGTATCTTAAAGTATAACTTGACCCAGCTATTGTTATAGGTAGAATAGGCATAAGTCTTACAGCA